CATCAGGCTGTGTCCAGACTCAGGGTTTTTTTCGAAAAAAGTAGCCTTTTTTCGAAAAAACTTCCCCTGCGTCCAGACTCAAGCCGCGTTCTTTCGAAATTAATTCGAAAGAACGCGGCTTTTCTTTCGATGGTGGTAAACCTCATTTCACGAGGAAGAACGCCTTCTTTCGAAAGTTCCTCTTTTGAAAGAAGGCGTTCTTCAATGTAAATAGGGCTTCTTCAAAAGAGAGCATCCAGACTCACTGGATGCTTTCTTTCGAAAAAGCAAGCTGCTTTTTCGAAATTTCTCCGTGCAGTCTAGACGCTCTCTTTCGAAAGAGGCCTGCAGTCTAGACATAGCCTAAGAAAAGAGGAGACTAAGGAGGGATATCGTAGAGGTCTATAAAATCATGACTGGTATGGAAAAAATGAATAAGGAAAAGTTATTTACTTGTTCCTGTAATATAAGAACTAGGGGGCACCAAATGAAATTAATAGGTAGCAGGTTTAAAACAAACAAAAGTATGTTTTTCTTCATGCAGCATACAGTCAACTTGTAGAACTCCTTGCCAGAGGATGTTATGAAGACTAGGACTTTTTAACAGGGTTAAAAAAACAGCTAGATAAAGTCATGAAGGTTAGCTCCATCAATGGCTATGAGTCAGGATAGATAGGAATGGTGTCCTTAACCTGTTTGTCTGGAAATGGATGACAGGAGAGGGATCACGTGATGATTACCTGTTGTGTTCACTCCCTCTGGGGCATCAACATTGACCACTGTTGGCAGACAGGATGCTGGGCTAGATGGACCTTTGGTCTGACCCATTATGGCCGTTCTTATGTTAATATGTAAGACAAACTTTCTTCTTTTGTCTTGCATTTTTGTGTAAGTAACAATATAGTTACCATTCAAATAACTGTAAATCTTCAGAAACCTTTAACTGATATTGATTTCTAGAAAAATAAAGACCAGTATTTCTAAAAGAAAACATTCACTGTCTTTTTAATAATACTTTGGGCTTCTAAAGCACCTTTCTGGCCTGAACATCTGAGATGTCAAAACATTCTGTGGAGGTGCTCTGTGTTTATTGCCTTCATTGAGATGAAAAAACATCCACATGCTACTTGGATTGGTTCTGCAAGTGTCCAGAAACTCCTGTTTGGTAGGTCAGTGCTATCATTCCTATGATACAGATGGAAAAACAAGTACAGATGTTGTGGGCCTGATTCTGCAAAATAAACAATTTGCAGTATTTGCACAGGTATTTAGGGCTAGGCATTTGAGATCCTATCTGCAGAGCTACATTTGGATTTGGATACCTAATTTTAGATACCCAAGTTTAAAATTTTTGGCCTAAGTAACTTATCCAAGGCCATCCAATGACTCAGTGGCAAAGCCAGGAATAGACCTCAACATTTCCAAAAGTCTTGTAACATTTTTATAAATAAAGGTGTGTTTTAAGACTTTTTAAAAAAATTCACACCCAAATGCTAGACTGAAGCGTGTGTGTGTTTCACACACTTTGAGCAAAGCTACAGATAGGAGTAGAGAAAACGTGTGGGATTTGGATGTTTGTGACTTTTTATAGCCCCAGTGCCCACTACTTGTACTACAATTGAATCCCTTACATCTGTTGTTATTCTGGACATGCCTGATAGAAATTAAATGGAGAACTGTTTCTTTTCCCCCTTTCCATTTTTAAATTCATCTGCAAGAAATGTTTGTGAGATTGCATATCTGTAAGATTACCATGCAGTAGTGAATTTATCAGTGTGTGACAATTTAGATGTAGTTAAGGCATGAAATAAGAATATCATGCTCTAGAATTCAAGAGAAAAAGCTCTAAAAACACAGTAATTATTAAACTAGTATTTTTACCCAGTCTTTTCATATACAAGGATTGCTCTGTCATGTGCAGTAGGAAAAAAGCCAGGCTTCTGTGGCAAGAGTTATTAAAATTAGCAAAGTGGAATTTCCTTCACTCCAATCTCTCAAGCAAAGCAGTGTGCTATTTGTGTAAACAGCTCCACTACAGACCACTGATTTACACCAATTGAGTGTCTAATCTTTTAATAAAACGAAACACGCCAGTACCCATATCCATCTTACAAACCTGGTTAAATGCTGTGAACTACCAGCATGCTTGCCCATTTAAATTTTTTTGGAATCCCAGAAAGAGTCTTCTAAAGATGTGAGAAGTAGGTGCCTAAATTGGGAGTGGGGGAGAGGAATAAAGTTTTATGCTTTCTATTATAATAGAATGTGGTGACCTGCAATGCCAGCTATCTATTTAAACTGGTGTTTAGAAACACAAGCCTGATGCTTTTTATGGTAACTCTTCTCCCAAATATATAGTAACCTGGTATATGTGGGCTTAAGCTCATGCACCTGAGAGTACAATAGGGCCTTGGACTTGCAAGTGGCTTTTAATTTATTTATTTTTAAGCTGTTTTGTGAAGGAAAATCTAAGACTGGGGGAGATGGTTCTCATTGGAATGACCCTTGCCCATAAGCTAAATTTCTTTGTTTTATTATTCTTATTTGAAATAGCTCAAATGTGTAAGCCACATTGCCTCACTCTCTGCCTTCACTCCATAAGATGCAGCTCAGCTTGGCAAGTTGTGACTTGCAGTGGAAGAGTGGTTGGCAGTTCTTAAGTTCCTTAAATCCTGTAAAGCAGTGAAGGAAATCACAGGGCTAACTGAACAAAAGGGCTGAGCAAATAATAATTGAAACAACATTTTAATTAGCTTACTTCCTGCTTTTGTTCTTTTTTGCTTTGAGCCCATGCTTCTTTTCCCTCATCTAACCCATCTTCACTTGGGCGGCCACATCCAGTCACTATTATTTGTCTCTTTCTGTAAATACCATGACAGAAATTAGAGATGTGGAAGACATTTTATCTTAGATAGTCTGTCCCTCTGCCAATGCGAGGATTAGTCCGTATGGTTTATCTTGAAGTTTTTTATCCACTGTAGCTTTAAATGATTCATTGGATGCTGCTCCAGCTGCTTCCATTGAGAGACTGTTGCATAATCTGATAAATTCATCAAGAAATTATCAACTTTTTTTCTCATTCTCACTTTTATTCCCTTACACCTAATTATGTAGCCACAAAATCCTTTCCTCACCACCTTTAAATACTTGTAGATGATCTTCATAAAAGGCCTTAAGCAATTAAAGCTGGTAAAGTTACTAGCGTTACACTAGCATAAGAGAGATCAGAATCCAGCCCATTGTCTTTCTTGTTCTTTGTTTCATCAGAGAATTGTCTTTTAATAATGGTGGTCTAAATTAATCTCCCAGATAACTCAATTGGCTACAGCAGAGTTGAACCAGGCCTGGATTTGTCCAATAGTGTTTAAAACCATTATAAGAAGGACTTTGGCAAGATTATGCATGCTAGACTACCAGATACTGTTATTTATACTATTATAAAAGGAGAAGTGTCCATCACGCTGTCTGTCACACAGAACATTTGTGAAGACTTGAGAAGTTTCTAGGGGAAGGCAGGACCCATCTACAGCCCCACTCCCTCCACTGAGGCCCTGCTCCCACCACAGGGAGGGAAGGAGGAGGAGCAGCATGCCGAGCTCACACGCCCCTCTTTCCCCCCACTAGGGGGAAGGGAAGAATGTGTGCGCACCAGTACTCCCGGAGCAGGGGAGAGGGAAGAGGCCACACGGCTTGAACCTCCCTGCCCCTGGGAGCAGTAGGGAGGGAGGAGGCCACGTGTATGTCTGTCACAAGGGGACAGTCAATTCTAGTATCTAAAATGAATGAAAACTAACAGAGGAAACTCACCATCTGATAGTGTAGTAATTAGGGGTAGAAATATAAATTTTTAAATGCATTGCATTTGGAACTGAAATGTTATTTTTTTTTATTTAAAAAATGGCTATGGAACTTGATTTGCTTATACTACAAAAAGCTTGCATTCAGGCTATTGGATGGCTTTCACTTTGTCAACAGGAGATCCCAAAACACAAAGTAGTATCCTGTTGGGTGATACTTGATCCTGGTGCAGTGCACTGGAATGAATGAGAAAAGTCACTGGGAACTGAGGGAATTAAGTATGTTATAGGGTGAAGCCATTTTTAAGGCTTGAGGCGGTGTTTTGAGCCAGCCAGTAAAAGCTCTGGCCAAGAGTGAAGCCAAGCCATAGCCCCTAGTCATTTGCAAGGAGAGCTTTTAGAATGGTGGAATGCAGCCTGCTGCCCACAGGCTGCATGTGGCCCATCATGGTTCTATGTGTGGCCCACCAGGCTTTTTGTTTACTGTTGCCCACATGCAGGGTTGCCAGATTTTGCTGGTTTCCATCCAGGTAGGTTTTTTCCTACCAGTATTACTAAAATGAAAAGCATGTAAAGCCAGTGCCCGTGGCATGAAGTGCGTACTGATTGCACACAACGTTGATAGTGTGAGGCATGTGCTCCCTCTGCGGCCAATCAAAGCACTGCTACAGTTCAGTTGACACACCCTGCAAATTGTAGGTACACATGTGCACTTAGCAAAATTACCCTATACCGAGAGACCATCTTGGTTACGAGAATGTTGCAGCCCACTGAGATGAAAGAGGGCCACTTATTGAACCCACTCACAAGCCTAGGCTGCCCTTTGCTGGTTTAGAGCATTTGACTGTATAGCTTTGATGTTAGTAGGTGTGGCACCAGAGCAAAAATCTACTTACCTTCATGTAGCACCCATAGAAAAAAGGAAAGTTTTTGGTAAACAGCATCAAATAGTTACCTTTATAATCTGTAATTGATTGTTTTCTAGACTGGATCTTTTGAGTTTAGCAGTACATGTCATGAGTACCAGAAATGAAGCTAACAAGCTTGGTATAGCTAAAATAAATCTAGCAAGGGTGTTCCCTAATATACACTTCTTCCATGCATATAACTCCCACTGCAGCAGGAGTTTTTCATGCAGGAGGAGAGCAGGCTAGGGTCCTTATAAAGTTTTTTATCTATTCCCACCAATATTATTAATCTAAGAAACATTCTTTTGTGATTTAGGAAAGGAAAGTCCTCCAATAAGTGATGTCCCAGATGATGCAGATGAGCCCATGCCTGTACCAGAAGACCTTTCAACCAGTACAGGAGGACAACAGAAGAATGATAGAGCTTTGGGTAAGATGGTTGGTCTGCTGTGTTTAGAAATATTAGTTCAGTATAATATTGAAACAAATCATTGTATAGTTGACTGGTATACTAGGAAGTCTTGAGTCTCTTCATCCCCTTCAGCAGATGGTGATTCAATGAGGTTGTTCCCTGCTTTTCCCCCAGCCATCACACAGGGGAATGCCATCTGAAAAAAGGAATTAGAAACATCCTGCCACTTTGTCTCATTTCTCTAAGCATGACTGGTGGCGTGCCTCGCCCTGGAGGAGCTGACACCCTTCTCATTCTGCACAGGAAACTGTTGCGCTGTAGCGATCAGTAGTAGATTATGCAGCATGTGGTTCCAGGGCAAAATAAAACATACTCCAATTTTGTTAACATGTGGAAGGAACACTCATTTTTCTGCTCTGAACATTAGGTTGGCCATGAGCACCTTAGCTCTGTGCTCTGTGGATTTCTTCAAACTCTTCACATTACATCATACAGTTTGCTCATAACTTTCACATTTGTTGGCTATTTATGTCCAACCTTTTTACAGACTGCTTGGCAGTAAGACTTGTTGTGTCTATTGAGAATACCCTGACAATCACTTGAGTTTCTTTTTCCTGTGTAATCTGCAAAATGGCCAAATCCATAAACTCACCATTAATCATAAATCAGACTGCTTTGCAAAGTGCTGGTACTAAGGGCTGGTCTACATGCTGCTTTAGTCCACATAAAAAGAAAGCGAATCCTAGTGAGCAGTAGCATGTTGCACACTAACTAGTCTGTGTGGAGCCTACTGGTGTGCACTTCAAGTCCCCCAGTGTTCATTATTAATGTAGCACTGTTTGAAATGGAGCAATGTTAACATGCATGAATGAAGTCTTTAGTGCCCGCTAGTAGAGTCCACAGTTAGTGTGCAACTCGCCAGTGCACACAGAATTTACGTGTGTCTGATTTGCACTAATGCCGTGTGTAGGCAAGCCCAGAATCATTAACTCACAGCCCAGGGTATAGGATTGGGCCTGCTGCTGCCTGTTCCAGGTATATGCCTATGTTTACCGTGAGGCTGTGTCTACACTGCACCCCTTTTCCGGAAAAGGGATGCAGATTAGACACTTTGGAATAGGCAAATCCGCGGGGGATTTAAATATCCCCCGCGGCATTTGCATTAACATGGCTGCCGCTTTTTTCCAGCCTGGGGATAAGCCGGAGAAAAGCGCCAGTCTAGATGTGATTCTCCGGAAAATAAACCCTTTTCCGGAGAATCACATCTAGACTGGCGCTTTTCTCCGGCTTATCCCCAGGCTGGAAAAAAGCGGCAGCCATGTTAATGCAAATGCCGCGGGGGATATTTAAATCCCCCGCGGATTTGCCTATTCCAAAGTGTCTAATCTGCATCCCTTTTCCGGAAAAGGGGTGCAGTGTAGACACAGCCTCACGGTAAACTAGAGTAAAATACTCGCAGATGCCTGTGCTAATGCTTGTCTCCAATAGGGTGACAAACAGAGGAGGAATTTACAGAGCCATGAAATCAATATTTCCTCTGTCTCCAGACTTGGGATTTATACCAGGAAAAGCTGAAATGTTTCTTTGGGTAGCAAAAGTCAACAAATATTAAATTACCCTCCTTGCCTCTCAGCCAGCCCCTGGGGGTTAGTAAAACCCCCTTGATTTTTACCGAGGTGCCTGAAGATGGGTTTATTTTATGGTAACACTTATAGAATACCCCAATAGAGATCATGGCTCCATTGTACTAGAGGCTATATAGACTGAATTTTGAGAGAGTCCCTGCCTAGAAGAGTTTAGAATCTAAATAAAGAAGACCGGGTGGGAGGGGAAAAGGATTCACACAAAGGTAAAATGGTTTATTGAAGCTGACCCAGCAGGCAGTGGCAGAGCAATGAGCAGAACCACCAACCCAATACTGATGCAATATTTTTCATTTTGTTTGGTGATTAAGCAAATATTCTCAAAAGTTGGAGCATAAACTTAGGCTTCTAAAGCCATAATTAGGCACCTAAAATACAAGTGCTCAGCTAGGTTTTCCTACTCTAACTGAAGCTATTCCTGGAGAATTTTTTTCCCAACATGACATCATGTCTTTTTCTTAAAATATCCTAACCAAATCTCCAGGATTGCTTTCACTAGTCTCCATGACTGAAAAGGTTGGCAGCCCTATGCTCAGCAACTTTGAAAATCAAGTCACTTATTAACTGAGGAGTTTAACTTTAGGTACCTATTTTTGAAAATGTTGGCCTTTATATCTTTGTTCACATGATCAGTAAACTGGACCTATCACTCCCCCATGATAACCTGCTATTGCAACTCATTCAAATTTTGATTCAAAACCTCCTAATCAAATAACTGGCATATATAGATAACTAAACTAGCTAATATTTTATGACATAGAATGTCTGCAACCGCACATGGAGGATGCAAAATGGGCCATGCTGACACCTACCTTTTGGGGGTGGTGCAACTGTCTTATAGGCTTCTCCGCATGCCTGTGGTAAGATTGAAAAGCAGCACATAGCTACAGGGAGGTTTTTTTTTTTAAACCCAAGCATTGTTCTTGGGGTTCCCTAAACAATCAAATATATCTCTTGTCCTCATAGAGTCCCAATAGAAAAACAGTTCATCATCTTAACTACAGCATATCTTTGTACAGTTAGTTGCATGTTTCATCTATGACTGTTGGGTATCAGGGGTTACATTCTTGCAAGGAAAAGTCTGATTGCCCTATATAACAACAAAGACAATTTGCAATACTCTGCTGTCTGTGCGCTATTCGTGATAGGCACTGAATCCAACCCTTACGTTGTTTCTCTAGACTCCAGAGATGGATTTGCTTTTATCCTTTCCAATCTTTTCTCCTGGAACTAACCATAGATTTTCTTTGAAAATTATAGTTTCTCATTTAAAAGACCTCTGTTTCATAATAACTACCCCATATTCCACACAATCTTAGTGCTGCCTTTTTTTTTAAGATGGCATTCATAATAAGGGGGACTCTAGTTCTGCTTTCATAACACTTATCAGTGCATGTTTCAGGGTCCCTCCAGCTGCAGAGAGAAGCATTTTGTTTATCATTCCATCTTTGTCAGAGTTAAGTACATGACTTTCATTTCCCATTAGCAAGGCTTGGCATGCAGCATCCATTTTCATAGTCAGTGAAATATGGCCTCCACAGGCACTTTGGTTTTATAAGGTGGCTCCTCAAGCCTGCTGAGGCTCAGCGGGAGCAAAATGGGCAGTTGCCCCAGGGCCTGGTGTTTCAAAGGGCCAGGAGCTCCCAGCCATCGCTGCTGCTACTGTGACCACGGCAGCAGCTGGAATCCCCTGGCCCCTTTGAATTGCTGCTGGTGCTCCGTGCCAGGTGCTCCTTGTGGCTGTGAGAGCTGGTGGGGGGACCCAGTGCTACACTCCAGGTGGAACTAAGGGCTGATTGCCCTCAGTCATACCCCTCTACCTGGGGCACCATCCCTTCCACTTGTGTCCCCCATGAACTAGGAACATTAGATGAGGAACTTTAAAGGGATGACATACCTCTAAGGTTGACATGTTCCAAATGGACTATTTGCTTAGTCAGATTTGTAGTTGAAACATGTAATCCCATACTCAGAAAGTTAGTTATCTTTATTTGTCCATTTACCATGTTAAAGTTCAAAAGATCAGGCTTTAGACAGAACGATAGGCACCTTACTCCCTTTGTGCTTATGAAAATCTCCTCTCCCAAGCGCTCCTGTGCTAATCTGAGAGTGGAACCTTATGCTGCAGACCTGCTAAAAAAGGAATATACTGAACTCTCTTCCCTTGACAGGAAGTGCTTGCTGCATTGATTGGCCAATGCTTACTAGACTGTTCTGGGCATATGTGTGAATAGTAGCAGATAGTGTCAAGAATGGGGAAAAAGAACAATAGATCAGTAAACATGAGCCTACATGCCTGGGAAATGCCCCACATAAGCACTTCTTTTCTTTGGTGAACACTGTGCAGGTACTTTTGCCTATACACAAAACATTCTTGTTTATATGTCACCAACTCAAACAGAAGTGAAGGTATGGTTGGTTCCTTGATAGCCGTAAGCAGCAGAACAAAATTCACCAGCTAAGCTTTTCTTTAGTGAGGAGTGATGGGGGTATGTGTCTGTCAGTTTTTGTATGCCCAACTTGAATCAGCTTGAAGGGACCCAGATTTTAAAGTGTTAGTGCTCAGCAGTTCATAAAAAACTTCAGGCCTCTTTTAAAGTATCTCAAGATGAACACTCAAAAATGGAGACAACTAAAATCTCTTTCACTTTTGGCCATTGTGAAAATGGTAGGGCAGCTTTGAAAATACTCTATGCAGAAGTAAACGGATCACTGGCCTCTGAGAATACCCTAAACCAGCAGAGCAAAGCACTAATAAAGAGAGTCTGGGGACTCTCAAAGATGTCATTTTATTTCCTTCATTAGCTTGCCAGCTTCTTTATGTTATAACTTCTGGATCACTGTGCTATTGAATAGCTTCCTCCTTCCACTTCTATTTCTGCTGCCCTGTCTACCAAATCTCCTTCCTGCCTTTCTTCTCCACCCTAGATTTCCTTCTTGTGTTGATCTGGCACCTGTAACTAACTAACTAACTAACTAACTAACTAACTAACTAACTAACTAACTAACTAACTAACTAACTAACTAACTAACTAACTAACTAACTAACTAACTAACTAACTAACTAACTAACTAACTAACTAACTAACTAACTAACTAACTAACTAACTAACTAACTAACTAACTAACTAACTAACTAACTAACTAACTAACTAACTAACTAACTAACTAACTAACTAACTAACTAACTAACTTTCTTTCTTTCTTTCTTTCTTTCTTTCTTTCTTTCTTTCTTTCTTTCTTTCTTTCTTTCTTTCTTTCTCACCAATAACCATCTACTCTTGAGTTTCAGGATCTTTACTCCTAGAAACCAAAGGTGAGATTTAAAAACGCCAAGATGATGTAGGAGCACAAGTTCCATAGAAAGCCACTAAC